GATACAGTTGGACAAAATAACGTATGTAAAAGCATGCATAAGTGACCCTCATTTGAAAGATAGTTCCAATAGCCTATTAGGTTAAAAAAAAGAGAATGAGAAGAAAGAGAAAAATAAATAATTATTTTAGAGCCCCTATTATCAGAAGTGCCCACTGGGTGTAGACAGGCTTGGAAGACCCCGTTTGCCTAGTCACAGTCCCCACAGGTGCGTGCAACAGTGGTGTGGTTAGGTTCCTTTTTATAATAAACGGAGAGGAAATGTCACAGCGCTGTAGTTGTGGGGAGCGGGGGGGATTCCCGTGATGGGCTCAGACTGTGGCTTGAATGGAAAGTGTTGGAGGAAGTAAGTATACAATATTACATTTATATGTTACATACACATATACCATGTATAGTTTATATAATTTCTATGATGATGAGTAATTCAAAGAAAAGCCACAATAAAGGGACAATCTATTAACCTCAAAATGCTAGGGCTCCACTAGGGACAATAATTCCTTTAGAAGGGGATTGTAAACTGGGATGACTTTTTTTTCATCAGCACAATTCTCGTATGTTTTCTAAAGCTCTGGTAATTCTACACAATAACTTCCCAGCAAGTGGTTAAAAAGAAAATTAACTTACTACTGCATTTACTAAGAACATTTACCATATGCAAGGGATCTGTGCTTCAAGGCAGCCAGAAGTACTTGGGTGCCAACTACATAGGAAGGCTGATGTGTGTGTTATCTCATTGAATGCTCAGCACTCTGTACTGTCATCTCCCTTTTGAAAGGAGGAAATGGATTCAGAGGTTGAAGTTACTTCCAGGAGGTCGCCCACAGAATACATAGTAGGTCCAAGATTTCTATTCAGGTGTCTGAGTCTTCAAAAACCTTTGTTCTCACCATATGACTGGACTGATAGAGACATGATCAGCAGTTGCTGCCCTTGAGCAGCATTCCTGACCTGGAGAAGTTTCTTTGAACAACTGCACATCTGTAACAGTCTATCAACAGTTGCACAAAATAGAAATGAGATACATGTACATAAAAAGCTGGATGCATATGTTATCAACAGATACAAAAGTATCACTTAAAAAAACAGTAAGTAAATTCTTACAGAACACTGTATAGGGAAAATACCTGCAAGAGAGCTGAAGTATCTCAAAATGTTAATGTGCAAACAAAACACCAGGGGGTCTTACTGAAGCCAGCTCTGATTCAGTAGGTCTGAAATAGGACTTGAGGTTTTGTGTTTCTAACTAGAAGATGTTGCTGATACTGCTGGTCCATGCACCACTCTTTAAGTAGCAAGGTTCTAGGAATTATTTAACTTCAGTGGTGAGGGATTTGGGGATGGAGAAGAGGGGAGGAGAGTAATAATGGAAAATACTGGACTCCAAATAGCTGAAAGTTGTGAATATTATACAAACAGAAAGAAATAAATTATAGTTCTAGGTACCTAATCTAATCATTTTTAAAGATTTTATTTATTTATTTGGTTATTTATTTATTTATTCATTCATTCATTCTTTCATTTATTTATTTTAGTCAGAGGGGAAGGGAGAAAGAGAGGGAGAAAAACATCAATGTATGGTTGCCTCTCACATGCCCCCTACTGGGGATATGACCCACAACCCAGGCATGTGCCCTAACTGGGAATCAAACCAGCAACCCTTTGGTTTGCAGGCCCGCATTCAATCCACTGAACCATGCCAGCCAGGGGTCATTCTTTAATTAGTAAATTAGTTCATAATAGGCATTAGATTTTTCATGTTCAAAAGTCACTGCTTATGGTAAAGATCTGATTCATTTCTCACTGGCAGTAACAGTCATTGTTCTGTGCTATGCTTGTTTGTTTCAAAGATCTGTGTTCTGCTTTGTATTTCATCATACAGAAAGTTATGTACTCTGACTCAAATGTGTAATGACCAATAACCATGTAACATAAGAATCTTTTGTTCAATAGTATACTATGACAAGGAGTTTCACATTTATAGACCTGAAATTTCTCTAGCAGGTGGCCTTCATGTGAAAGTTTCATTAGGCCCTAAATGTCATATAGTTAAAATTCCATAGTATGTAGCCTTTTCAGATTGACTTCTTTCACTTGGTTATATGCATTGAAGGTTCTTCCACATCTTTTCATTACTTGATAATTCATTTCTTTTTAGCACTAATATTTTATCAACTGAATGTATCACAGTTTATTTCTCCTTTCACCTACTGAATGACATCTTGGTTGCTTCCGAATTTTGGCAATTATGAATAAAGCTGCTATACACGTGCATGTGCAGTTTTTTGCATGGACATAAGTTTTCCACTCATTTGCTTTAATACCAAGGAGCACGATTGTAGAGTAAGAATATGGTTTTGTAAAAAACTGCCAGATTCTCTTCCAAGGTGTCTGTACCATTTTGCATTCCCATAGGAAGTAAATGAGAGTTCATGTTGCTCCACATTCTCATCAGCATTTGGTTTTGTTAGTGTTTTGGATTCTGGCCACTCTACTAGATGCCTAGTAGTATCTATCTCACTGTTGCTTTATTTGCAGTTCCGTAATGCCATGTAATGTTGAAAACCTTTTCATATGCTTATTTTCCATCTGCATATTTTCTTTAGTGAAGTATCTATTCAGGTTTTTAGCCCATTTTTTCATCAGGATGTTTTTTTCTTGTTGACTTTGAAGAATTCTTTGCATATTTTATATAACAGTGTTTATCAGACATGTCTTCTGCAAATACTTTTTTTCTAGTCTGTGGCTTGTCTTCTTGTTCTCCTGATAGTATCTTTTCTGGAGCAGAAGTTTTTTGTGTTTTACAGATTTTATTTATGTATTTTGAGCAAGAGGAGAAGGGAGGGAGAAAGCAAAGGAGATAAACATCAATGTGGGAGAGACATCAGTCAGTTGCCTCTCACACATGCCTGCAACTGGGGACCTAGCCCACAACCCACGCATGTGTCCTGACTGGGAATCGAACCAGTGACTCTTTGGTTCACAGGCCAGCACTCAATCCATTAAGCCACATCAGCCAGGGCAGAATTCAATTTTTGAGGTTCAAAAATTTCACCTAGAGTTTTTAATTTATTACATTGAATGTATAGATTAATTTGAAGGGAATTGAATTTTTACTATGCTAAGTTGCCTCCATTCATGAATATATTATCTCTGCAATTATTCAGATCGTTTATGTCTTGTAATGGAGTTTTTGAAAGTTTCTCTGGGAAGGCCTTGCACATTCTACTTTGGGATAATTTCTAATTTTTGTTATCTTTTCTGGAAGGTTATTAATATAGAGAAGAAGCTTAGAGTGTTGTTTAAATTGATCTCACTTCCAACAGTCTCACTGAATTCTTTAGTTAGTTTTGAAAATTTGTTAATTTTATTAGTTTTTCTATGGAGATCATCATATCATCAATGATCAAGAAATTTATCTTTTTTAAAATCTTAATTTGAAAATGGTATGCTGGGACAAAAAGATTAAAATTCAGTATTTGATTTTTTAAAGCTTTACAAAGTGATAGAAGAAAACATCTAAATTGTTTAAAGAAAATGGGGCATCAACAAAATCAAATGTTACCAAAAAATGTTCATAACAGACAACACATATTGTTAGATAACTATTTTGATATCTATAAACTTCTCCCTAAGATTTCTTCCCTGACTGATGTGGTCAAGAAACAGAAGGGCAGTCTGAATCCTGAGCCTTTTGAACAATTCCTTGTTTGTAGCCCCAAGAAAGTGACTTAACTGTTCCTGGTCCTGCTCTGGCCCATGCAGCCAACCACAAACCACTCGCATCAAACTTAACCTCATGTGCATGATAAACGTGCAAACTCCTGGCCTCACTACAGGACTTGAAAAATAAGAAATCTCTGCTGGAATCGCATGGATATCCACAATTTTAACATGAGCCTTCCCTCTGCCTCCACGATTCTTATGTCTATGAGCTTGGGAATCATCATGTCAGGGGGAGAGAACACTAAACCTGACCCCCAGACAAATGGACCTCACTAACAAAAGTCCCGCCCCCATCTCCTTCTTGTTCCCCAGTCTAAAAGCCTAGGAGGAGAAATGAAGACTTCCATTCTCCCTTCTTTTTTTTCTTGTTTTTTTTTTATCTTTATCCTAGGATATGTTTATTGATTTGAGAGAAAGGAAGATGGGAGAGAGAGAGAGAGATGTGAGAGAAAAATTAATTAGTTGCCTCCTATACACACCCCAACCAGGGATTGAACCTGCAACCTAGGTATGTGCCCAGACTGGAAACCGAACCTGCAACCTTTGGGTGCATGGGACAATGCTCCAGCCAACTGAAGCACTCACCCAGGTCTCTCCATTCCTTCTTACAAAAATCTTGGCATTCTTTATGACACATATACATAAGAGAAAAACATGGAAATGGCTGGTCCATAATTTGTCTGCCTACCCAAAGCAAGTCTGTACTGGTTTGGAGCCAGTTCTAAAAAGTTAGTGCCATTTCTTTCAGGAAATAGTAGAGATGTTCTCTCATGGGCATCATTACTAAAACGTAGACCCTAACATTAATTAGGGACTCACTCCTGACACAATAAGAAAGCTTGAGAATCAAGTGCCAAGTCACTGGCTTTAATTCCACAGCAAGAATACAATTTCAGGGCAAATCCTAACACTAGCATTTAAGTATTATTGCTAGTCCAGAAATTTTACAAGGACTATAAAAATTGTATTTACCAGATAATAAATGCAATTTAAAAAATTCACATTGCACTCTAGTAAATTCTAAAAATGATCATGATACAAATATTAGAACTAAGGAAAAAACTTCCCTAGGGGTTTAGATTTTTTTCACTTCTACAAAGCCAAAGACACTACAAGCATAGCTTATACTTGAGGTAAAGCGTCACTTTCCGACACCTGCATTCGTTATTATGGTCATAATTAAATAATAAGATCTTAGTGTCTCAAGCCTATCATCATTTAGCCCTTAAACCAAAATAAAAATTAACAAATTAATTCTTGTTTTTAAAAAAAGAGTTTGCTTTGAGAAATTCTTTATTGCACATCATCAAACTCATTTCTATTTGAACAAACAACACACAAAACAAAGGTTCACATTATGAAAATGCCTGAAAGATCTAATCAGCATTTTGTAAGGATAGACACTTTGTTCCTGTCTTTTAAAGGCATATATTTCCCACTTATATTTAAGCTATGAGGATAATTGTTTTACAGAATATTTTAATGTGAGTTATGAAACCCCTCCCCACAAACCACAGTTCCTAAACCTAAAATGCTGCTTCTTTCCATGAGACCAAAGGTGCATACGCAAGGACAGTGCATCACACCATGTTCACAAGGCCACGTGGGTGTGAATACATAATCCTCATGGGCAAGGACATGCATTTGATATGTGCTTTAATTTTCATGTATGTATAAGATACTCTTTCAAGTTCTTTACATTAACACTGAAGGAGAAAACTTATACACAAATACTAAGAAGCCTGATTCTCTCCAATTCTGAAAGAGCCTGTGTATACCAGTTGTCCCTCACAACCACATATTGGATTGTTTGCTGGTGACGGTTGTTTCTCATTCTGGCCTGGTCTTAAAACGCAATGATTGCTGGACATACAGCAGCCATCCCGTCTCTCTAGTAGAGAGTGGTCCAGGCCTGGATTAGTGAGTCATCTGAAGGCACTGTCAGGCCGGGCATTGTTTTCCACTGAGGACACCATCAGCAGTAAGCAATGGACTAAGAGCTAGAGTAAAGAGTGGCAGAGAACACCTTCTAAGGCTATGGCAAACTAAAGAACAAGAAACCAATAGCTTCCCTAATCAAAGCTAAGGTTTTTTTTTTTTAAATGAACTCAACATAAAGCTGAAAGACATTAAATATTGCTTTTAAAATTATAAACCTAATGAGTACTTAATAAATTATAGCTATCAATTTGCTCAAAATAGTCAATTTCACATATACTCCACCAGATCTTAAAATATACGTATAGTCTCCCAACTCAGCTACACACCGAATTTTCCTGTACAGCACACAGAAGCATGACAGCTACTTTTTACAACAGCAAAATATAGATACTGGAGGGTCATCATCTAATCTGTACTTTCCGGAGTTGGGCAGATCTTTGCACTCTGATATAAATGTCCGCAGTTTGGTCTCTGGGAAGCCGTTTTGTTGGTAATGCTGTACAGAAGAATAAAAAACAGCTCTCATTAATAAACTCCTTGAAAACAGCTTTATTCCAAATGTAAAATAGATCATTTTGCAAGGGAGGGAATCTTCCTGGAGAGGTAGGTTAGTCATTTCCAAGTATCTTAGTGAGGTGTGGTCTCCAGAGCCATTCTGGTTTGGCTAAGGCAAAGTGGGTCTGGGCTTCTGCAGCGCCCCCCTGGCCTCTCCCTTCTGGGTCTGATTCAACCCAAAATAAGCATGTTGAAATCTCCATCAGCCTAGGCCCTGCTTCCAGGAAGAATCTGGCCAATCCTGTTCCAAGTCTGAGATTCTCTGTCACCGCTCCACCCTGCAGCCCATGACTTTCAGACCCACGTGTAGCAGGCACCTTGGATGGCACCAGGTTCAGGCCACAAGAAGCCCAGCTGGTGCACATTAACAATGATGCTGTTGAAAGCTGAGGGATGGATGTACCCAGTCTTCCTCAGAAGGCTTCAGAAGACCTCAGAACACCTCTGAATGCTCCTAAACTAGTCCAGATGTCTGGACCAAGATCTGAATGCTGTAAGGGATCTTCCAGTCCACACACCATTTTGGAGTCTCTCTTCTGGACAGACAGGCTTGGTTAAGGGCCTCATATGTATATCGGTTTGGGGTATGAGGCCTCTAGAATATTCCCTGGCCAGAAAAAATTAGAAATAACTTAGCTTTCCCATTTGGACGTCCTCTGAGCCCATGAAAAGAGGTTGACATCTAAACTATGACTCTCAGACTTGTGTTGTGGAGAGTCATCAAGTCATATAACTCTTAGAGATGTTGTATGTCACCTTTAAATAACATCTAGTTCACTACATGCAGAGTGGAAGGTAGTAAACTTTTAGAGCATCATGGGGAGGGATCTGGACAGGTGCAGCCTACATTCTTTCCCGGTCACCTTGGTGGCTCTAAGCACAAATCTGCCAAGCACATACTAAGGACGGTCAGTTCCTGGAATCTGATTCAGTAAGAATGAAGCCCTGGCTTCATGAGCAAGGCGCTTCCCAATCCATCCACTCCTGATGGCCTTCCCTTCGTCCCTGGACCATTCACACTGCGTCACACCCAGAAAGAGAAGTGCCCAGGTGAAAGTGTCTATGCCAGCAGTGGCCGTGACAGTATAAAGCTATTAGAAATTTAAATATATGTGGGTATTTGTTCTGCCTTTCCATATTTCAAAAGGCCAGACTGATTTTTTAAATATTTCTTGTGTGTGATAATACCAATGATAACAGTTTTTCAAATCGAGTTTCCAACTGGGGAGAGGACCATGCACAGCCTTGCAAAAAGTGTTCAGTTACAACACACTCTAAAGGAAGAGATCAGATTTTGTTTACAAAAACTGCATTTTAAAATTTTCTCGCCCCCAATTTTGGCTTTTTGAAATGACATTTGTTTTACTCACCCAATACTTACTGGTTCTTATAATTCTAATAAAAGGTTAGAAACCTTGTACAATAAAAGCACAATGAAAGTGAAGATAAAACTTTCAACATTCTAGAAATTCTATTTCTCCTTCCTTTCTGTTTCTCAGTATCCAAAATTGAAGTCACTCTTCTCCACCCTGAAGAAATTAACATTCCATCAATTCCCTTCCCCCATAGGTACTATATTTTATTGTCACTCTGCAAGTCTAGGAAAATGCCACCACTGTGGCTACCAATGAACCTACCTTAATTGTTTCATATGTATCAGTGATCAGTGCAATGAAAAGACTTAAAATCATATATATAAAAAGGCTGATGAACGTGTAGAGGTAAGTTCTGCTAAATAGCCAGACCAAGTAACTTTTTTGCTGCATTCCTGCAAATGTGGCAAACATATCATCTCCATTTATCAGAGAAAAAAGGCACTCAGAGACCATGTTCAGAGAACGGAACTGAAAAAAGAAAAAAGAAAAGTTCACTTTATTCCACATTCCTCCCCATGGGAGACCTTTATTCATGACTTCATATTAAAAGCAATGAGACCAAATATCTCAAGTTACCCTTTCAAAGCAATAACCTGAGGTAACTACACACATTTGCTTGGTAATGCACACAGTGTGCCCCAGCCTACTATTTTCCTGGGATACACGGCTGCTTCTTGACACTCCAGTTGACGGGCAGGTGGAACTGAAAGCAGAAGGGGTGGTCTTTGCCCTTAGTGCTCCGTGAGTCCAGCCTTATCCTCCCCTTTACCTTCGTGGAAAGACACCTTTGAAATGTCTCTTCAGAGAAACCCAGACCCCTTCCGTGCATGATCATACTTCTCATTTTAAAGTTCTTGCCACTTAAGATAATGGCATAATAGTCAAGGCTCTAATTCTGGTAACAAATATTCAAATATTTCTACAGGTTTCTCCCTATACTTTTTAAATAAGATCACATTTCGAGACACCTTACCTAAATAGCCAACCCTAATATATATTAATGAATCAAACTGACTAAACTTTATACTTCTCTGGTAGTAAAAATGATTTAATTATCTGACACATTCCATAAAAGAAACTGAGGAAGTTGAGTGAATCAATTATTCTCTCATGTTGGTCATACCCTAACAGTTTGTAAAAATGGCAACAGATATTACGACCATCAGCATTTTTAAGGCTGAGTGACAGAATAAAAGGAGTTCATCTGAAAGGAGAAAGCAAGCCCCTGGCACTGTTCTGAGAGTTCAGTGATACCAAGAAAAAAAAACCCATGTGTCAGTACCTTTTCATGGTAGGGCCCCAGCACAATCCATCCACAGAAGCAATAGCCAAAATAAATCATAGCTGCACAGCAGCAGAACCTCATGACGTTGGGCAGCGCTGCCTGAAGGGTCAGGATAAGGAGCTGGGAAAGAAACAGAGGTCCTTAGAATGCTTTTCTCCTCCAGCCAAAGCACCACTTCAAAAGGGAGAAAGACCAAGAGAGAGAGAGCCAGGAAACTCCTTACATTGTACTTCTGAAAGAAACTGAGGTATCGAATGACGCCGATCCACACAAGCAAGGTAGAGGTCCCAAGAAGTATGCTGCAGACATCATAACTTGTTAGACTCTGAAACAGAGTGGGAACAAGTGATCAGAAATTCATCTGAGCAGGAACTATTTATTGGGTAGCTATGGGTCGGGCACTGTTCTAGGGTCTGAGGACAAAACAATGAAAAGACCAAATTTCCTACCCTCATGAAGTTTGCATTTTAATGGGGGGAGGGAGGTGGCAGCATTAAATTAATAAACACTTTATACATTAGCTGGTGGTATGTGCAGAGGAGAAAGTTCAGGAGAGGGGGTAAGGAATGGGCAGGGGGTTGCATTTTAAGTACGGTGATCAAGGAAGGACTCACTGAAAAGGCAGTTCTTGAGCAAAGACCTGAAGGGAGTGAGGGAACAAACCAAACGAAGTCAAGGCCAAGAGCCTTCCAGGCACAGGAACCAGCAAGTGCAAAGGCCCCAAGGCCAGAGGGCACCTGGCGAGATAGTGAGTCTGGCTGGAGTGAGCAGTGAAGTCATAGAGGTAAGAGGGCAGGCAGTTAGGGCCTTGTGGATAATTTAACAACTTTATCTTTACTCGGAATAGGGCAGGGCTCTGGACAGGAGTGAGATGATCGAATAGTGGCTGCTGTGGTTGAGAGCAGGTTGTCAGAGGAGTGAGAAGCCTACTGCAATAATATCAGTGAGGGCTGATGGTGACTTGGTGGAGACGATGAAGTGATTTTTGAAGGAAGATCAATAAGATTTCCTCTTGGATCAGATGTGGAAGAGAAGGAATTAACGAGAGAGAGATGTCAAGGGTGAAACTATGGCTTTTGTCTTGAGCAACTGAAGACAGCTGGTATTAACTGAAGCTAGAAAGGAGAAGCAGGTTTGGACTGTGGAGGTGGGGACCTTAGGAATTCTGTTTTAGGTATGTTAAGTTTGAGAGGCCAGGTAGACATCCAAGTGAAGGTGTGGAACAGACAGTGGGATATCTAAGATGAGTTGAGGGAAGGATTCCAAGCTGTGGACACAAATGTGGAAATAACTGGCAGGCAGATGCTATTTGAAAACATGGAAGAGAATGAAATCACCAGGGCAGTGGCAGAAAACAAAAGATGTCCAAGCACTATGCCTTGAAGCACTGTTACTTTACTAGGTTGGAAAGATAAGAGGAAACTGGTTAAGGAACGTCAGAAGACCCACCCTAGTCTTCTTGAGAGGAGAACCAGGTACGTGATAGTCCAAAAAAAAAAAAAAAAGCATCAGCAAAGAGGGAGTGTTCAAAGTGATAAAAACTGCTAATATGTTCAGAACCGCCCTTCCTGGTATCAGAAGCTATAACCCCCCTGCCCAAGGATAAGGCTGGGGGAGTGACCTTGGACCATAAGCCAGCAAGGAGACAAAAGCTTATCTCCCTGGCAGGAGAGCTGCTTCTGCTGCTTCATTCATAACTGACCCCCAATGCTTAGTCAGTTAGCCAATGATGGGTAAGATTCCCCAAGTGGGGGGACGACCAAGAACAGGCACGATCACGTGGGAGGCCCCTAAGAAAGGACTTTGGGGGCTACAGCAAAGGGGGGTGATGGACCTTCACCCCTTGGCTTTGACATAGCCTGAGTCCTCATCGTCTGTGAAAAAATCTCCTAATCTCTTGGTTGCCTTAGTTCCCTTGCTCCACCTAAACCTGAAACAATGACAGGGTGGTGCAGCCCTGTGCTGGAAAGGCTGGTTCCCCGGGTGATCAGGTCTAAGAAAGAATATGTAAAATCCTGTGAAACCTGCTTTGTTTAGAATGCTCTCAGTTGAATGATGAGGGTCCAGGGAAGAAGTAAGTTTGTTTCCTTAAATTTTTTTATAGCTCTTTGACCCTGACTCAGAACAGACCCTCAGACTTCCTTGTTATCTACTGTTTGATCCTTACTTCCTAAAAATGAGTAATAAGCTTTACCTGAATTCTTATGCAAATGAAACCAATAAAAAGCCTCTCCAGCAGGGGAACAGCAGTCTCCCCACCGGAGAGAGTGGCCATCTCATTCCTACTTCCCCATAGGACCTGGTTGTCTCTGTGTATGTCTTTCTTGCATTTCGACGAGCCATCTGCAGCATTCCTTGCTCACTGCCTGCCGGTGAGCACGCGTCACTAATAGGTCAAAATGAGGATAACTAATTGATTATTTGACTTAGCAACATGGGAGGTCGTTGGAAAGAACACTTCCTGTGGAGACGCAGGGCAGCCCAGTTGGAACAGGTATGAGAGAGAATGGGAGAGCAAAATCAGCAAGAAGACAAACTACTCATTTGAGGTATTTTGCTACATAAAGGGGAGCAGAAAATGGGGAAGTAACCTAAGGGAGAAATATATTGATGTTTTGTCTTTTTAGAAAGGAGAAAAAAAAACATGCCATGCTGATGGGAATGATGGGGTAGAGAATGGGAAATTGATGATGCACAAGGAACAAAGGAAGCATAGTGGGAACAATGCACATGAATGAGCAAGTGGGGACAGCATGTAGTAGGCATACTATGTCCACAGTGACAGACAAAAAGCAGAACATATGGGTACTGATGCTGGTAGGTAAATCAATGAGGTGGGGGTCTGTGGAACATGTATTTTTTCCCTATTCTTGTAAAACAGGAAATGAGGTCATCACCTGAGACTGGGGATGAGGCAGAGACATTAGAGGTTTCAGAAGAGAAGAAAACATGAAATTATAAGACAAGGGCAGTAAATAGTCTAGGAAAATGTGGAAAGAGCTCATTGAGGTCAATGGTAGTTGAGGTTGGTAAAGACAAAGATTTGCTGCCAATCTTCCCCTATTCCTGGCCCCTGGAGTTAAGTACTCTGATGATTTACACAACAGCCATGTTATGGTGGCAGCTGCTCCATGTTAACCTAAACCTATTCTCTCCTTCTGAGGAACATGCACCCCTTGCAGTTAGATGTGACTAAATCCTCTCTGGTGGAACGTGAACAGAAGTGAAGGCTACCACAGTACAGCCAAGGCTGTAAGACTGTGGGACAACCACCTCCAGACTGCAGCATGTTTTCCCTGCCACGGGCTGCAACCTATCTCGGAGTTGACCCAGCGTCACTCATGGAGTCTGGATCAGCCCGCAATGGCTGGCGGAAAAACCAGATGGGAGAAATTTGGGTCCCTGAATGATTGCCCAGAACTGAACAACTCACCAACCTGGAAAATCCACCCTGACTATTTCATGAGGGAGAAATAAGCTTCTATCTTATCTGAGCCATTGCATTTGGGGATTTCTGCCCAGGGATCTGAATGAAAACAGGCTTATGCTCATTTTCAGTTGCAGCCAAAGCTAGAAACAATAAATTTGAACAGGATTACCTTGAACAACATTAGTTTTTTAATAATGATTTTTGCTTTGGGTTGATTTCTAGTCTGGGTTAGTCATAACCCAAAAATGGAAAACCTTGCAGTCTATCAATGGGAAAAACAAGAATATGGAAACATTCTCAAGTTGAATGGACAAGGTAGACAACTACAGCACTCATGTAATCACAGTTGGGCCTCACTCTGCACCCCCCAGCCCTACTCTGTTTTTGTTGAAGATTCTGGCATTTCTTATAAGAACAACAAAAAATACCTCCTACCTGAGATACCTTGGTGTGTTTATGAATTTGGTATGTGTAAGAGCTCGCAGGCCCCACTCAGAGCTCAGATTCAGTAGGTCTAACTTGGGCATTTTTACCAGGTACCCCAATGACTCTGACACAGACTTTTGCGGATCACACTGTGAGAAACTCTGCCCAAAGGGTTTCCTGACTAGATCTAAGAAAAGTGCTGCCACCAGTTCCAAGTTCACCTAATACAATGTTTGAAAGAAATAACTTACTCTACAAATTCTCACACTCTGGAAAAAATAAATTACAGTTAATACAATCTGATACTAACAATAGCATACATAGGAAAAAAGTTTACCTTGGCTTGGATTTCCATTTTCAGAATTGATCCGATGATCGTCAGTAAGTCACTGATTATAATCATAATGTACCATCCATTGACAAATTCCATTCGCTCAGAAAGAGAGACCTCCTTCTTATAATGGAGGAGGAAAAAACTGACAAATTCCTTCAGGGAAAAGATGGAGGTGGAGCACAGTAAATTTCTCTGTCTATCAAAATGTCTGTAACATTCCCAGAAAATAACAACTCTTACCTGTTGAAGCTGAATTCCTTTAATCACAGATCGAAAGCACAGGATTAAGGAAGCCAAGCATATCAGAATGACAAAGGCATCAAAGATCATCATGTAGTGAGTGTTCCTCTGAACTGGAAGGAAAAGGATGACCTGTTTATGAAGTGGGATACTAATACTGTGACAGCAACTTCCCTTTTTTCCTTTTCATTCTTAGCATCATTTATTTCAACTGCTGCATTGCATACCACAGTATAAATGTACAGTATGTTAAAGGACACTCAGGTTGTAATCTGATTGGGTTTTTTTTTTCCTACTAGAAACAACTCTCCAAGCCCTCTGTGCACAGGTGCAAGGGGTTCTCTAGGTGAATGAATGTCTAAAGGAGGAATTGTTGGATCAAGGCACATGTATATTTCTAAAACAAGATGCTAAGAAATTGTTCTCCAAAAAGATCATGCCTCTTTACCTACCTACACATATCTCCACATCTTCTCCACCAATGGATATTAGTAATCTTTTCTTTTCCCAATTAAAATAGCAAATTTATTATTCCCAAAGGTTTGAAATGCCATCTGTATCATGTATATTACCCTTTTGAAGTGTTCTAGTATTTCAGTGCCTAAGACAAATATCTCTTATTATTTTTTTCTGAAATTTTTACAGGCTATTCTTGCTTTTTTATTTTTCCACAAATTACTTAGGATCAGATTGTCAAGTTCCAATAAAAATCTTACTGGTAATTTTTGGGAGGGGGCCATGTCGAACACATAGGCTACTTAAGGGAGAACTGACATACTCATGATGTTGAGTCTATTGTCCAAAAAGACGATGTGCCTTCTCCTTGATTCACATCTTCTTTTAGCATTCTTTTGAAGAGTTTTCAAATTTTATATGGACCCTTCACAGTCCTTTTTAGACTAAATGAAATGATCCAAGTATTCCTTACACAAAGACAACAAAGAGAAAAAGCCCTGGTAAATGTTCTTCCTATAAGTATCTAGATAGGTTCAAAGTCCTTCTTTTAAAAATCACCAAAGCCATACCCCTGCAGTGCCACTGCCTCACGACCCTCGTCTGGTACATCAGCCTCACTGCGGGTGCTGACGCCACACCTGCTGGCCGGTTCCGAGGCCCTTCTCAGATCGCAGCCCCTCCCCACCCTTGGTTCGCCTGTCCCATCTTTTGCCTCTTAGTGGCCTCAGGACCTGGGATGTGCCCGAGCGGATGAACCCATTTGGGAGAAGGTGTGGTTGGTGCAAAGATTCTGGAGGGGTATCATCGGGGCAGTGTGGGGGCGGCAAAGGTCTTAGGAAGGAGAGTTGAGGGAAGCACTGGCTGATGTCTGAGCTTAAATAGGCCCAGCCTGGACCTGGAGGTGGATGTTACCGGGGCGGAGGTGAAGGTGCAGCTGCGGTCTCGCCCCTCCCCGCTGGCCTGGGTGGCGTGTTTGTAAAGAGGACTGGACCCTTGTGAGCGGTGTTGTAAACAGGTGGGTAGAGGAGAGGGTTGAAGATGTGTGGGGGCAGATTTTGAAAGGGTTTAGTGGGAGGGGAAAGGGCCCACAGCAGAATTTGGGTGGAATAAAGAGAACTGAGGTTTGCAAAAAGAAGAGACCTGTTGGTGGGCGGAGGTAATGGAGAACGTGAGAGCCTAGAAAGAGAGTTTGGGGGAAAGGGCAACGGAGGGGGAGATGGGACACTGGGGCCGCATGCTCATACAGATGTGGGGGTTCCCTGAAGCTGTGGGAAGGAAGAGGGAGCAGAGTGGAGCAGCATCACTGCAAACAGTTCTACTTGCCAGGCCTTCAGCCTCTGACAGGGAGGGAGGGGGGTGCGGGGCAGGTCAGGTGGGTTTGGAGAGTTGGAGCTGGCTGACGGTTCAAATGGATTTGCTCTCCAGTGCTGCCTAGCTGCGTCTCTCTTTCTTTCCTGGTTATGGAAAGAAAGAAAGAAAAGAAAGAAAGAAAGAAAACGGGCATCCCAGAGGTGTGGTAAAAGAGTGTAGGTTTTAGTGGTGCAAGAATAGGGAGAGTCCTGCCATGCTAGACCCTATGTGCTGCGGCCAAGGCTCTGGCATCTGAGAAACAGAGCAGCTCACACAGGACGGCATCTGGGCAGCAGGCTTAGTAGATGAGCTCTTTATTCTCCAGACCTTCTGCTGTTTAGGTGCCAGTAGGGAAGTCAGTATTTATATATCAGAAACGTCCCTGGTGAAATAAATATCCCTGTCCCAGTGTTTGCTGCCCCGGTGGGCATCTCATCCTGACTGTGTGCTTGGCAAGGGGAAGGGCTGAGATAAAGTTTGGGGGACAGTTCTGGTCCCATAAGTGAAGTGATTGATGATGGAAAGGGTCTTCTTTGGCTATAGCCACTTTGACCAGTTCTCCCTAACAATGAAAGTTAACGCTAATATTGTAACAAAATTAGGTGGGTCCCCTATGGGTTTGAGGAAACAGGTGAGAAGGTGTCAGAGGATAATTGCTTTTCCCTCCTGTTATTAAGTTTGGGACTTTTCTTGCCATGAGTTACTGAGTCTGGAAATTCTCAGAGTTGGTGTTGTTTTGTGACTTGGCATTGCTGAACAATTCAGATCACAGTGCTTTGTATTCTTCCTTATTTCCTAATGGTGAGTAATGTGGAGGCAATAATACTTCATTTCCTAGGGTTTATAGCTTCCAATTGGATTTTAACTATTCTAGGAGCAGTCACAGAATATGTGGCTCCATTTTAGCTTGAATTTTCCCAAATTTAATGGATTTAAACAGGACTGCTAGAAGGGGATCTAGAGGTTGGCCCCTGAACTGTGAGGTGTGGGCTACAAAGCCCCTCCAGGAGGGAGTGCCTAAGTCACCTCTGTGCCCACATGGCACTCATGCATTGGTATCACGGTGGTGGTGTCTCGAAGACGCCCAGGAGAGCTTTGCCCTGTCAGGAAGCTGGGGATAGTGTTTGTGGCTTCTCATAGTGCTGTTTGGCAGAGGCGGTTTAAGTGGCTACAGCAGCCTCCAGGAGGCATCTCCTGGGGCCAGGAGGAACAGATGAGGCAGAGAGAGCATTAGTCTACAGAGGACCAGCAGAGTTACAGCTCAGTCTGTGGTTATTAAAGAAGGCAATCTTCTCAATCGTAAGAACTGAAGATGTGACAAGCACATATTGATCCAGAGTCCATGTGACTGGACCGTGGCTCTCTCAGTTTTGGTGAGCCAGCTATGTGAAGCTGATGGCTGGGACACTAACTTCTGGAAAGTGCAGCAGCTGAGAGGTCACGGACAACTCCCAGCAAAAAATAGAGGCTGTAAAGCTACAGATGATCCTCATGAACAACTATCGACCTCTGGGACCACAGGCTCCAGGCCAATGGAAGGACACTTCCCTCTACCTCCTCTGACCAACATACAGTGTCCCTCACAGTCTCAGGAATTCTTCACCAACTCCTAGGTAGAATAGGGTGAGAGTTTTGTGGTTCTCAATTAGCACAGTCTACTGTCCCATCCAAGCCTGAAGTAGCTACAGAAGACAGAACGTCACCCCTCAGCAACCCAAAGAAGAAATTTGAGAACTGTGTCTCTCAGAGGGGAGTTGTTGCAGGAGACAGCATAGGAAGAACTGTGAGACTGCTATTGTTGCTGGCTGGAGGCTAGCATCCTAGTTGCCAGGCAACATCTTTTAGCACTTAGGTAGCAGCTAGGAATGAGCGGCCAGAGGGGAAATAAAGGCAGGCCCTCACCATTGCAATCTAACAAAAACTTAAAATGGGAGGTTAAAAGCAAAGGAAGACATGTCTTACCCATTGATCCAGTAGTCCTAAGCCTGGAGATAAGACTGTCAGGCATTCTGAACAAGCAAAGCTATGACAGTGCAGAGGGGGGAGCCCTTGCAAGTCTGTGTGTATCATCTCTACTAGCTGAGAAAAGGAAAACTTTGAGACTGTGTCTTCATACAAAGGCCTAGAAGGGGAGGGGTCCACAGTGCCCAAAGAAAAAGCCCATAAGACAACTTTGGTTAATTGCCTGCCTCCTTTTACATATACAAAATGAACAAATAGAGCCTGGAGCAAGATAAGGATTTGGGCTAACAGACCCCCACACATAACATTTGGGTTTCCTATGGGAAACCTGGCACCACCTTTACTGTCAATCACTGTGTAATTTCTTCACCCCCATCCTGTTAACGCTGAAAGTCATCAGAGCAAAGGTTTCACTCTCTTGGCTCTTTCACCATACGGGACAGGGGCCAGGGGCCAGGGCCTGGCCGGGGGGTCCCTGGCCACCCCTGTTTTTTTGCCACTTGGCCTCTTGCCACCTTGCTCTTACCACCCTGCTTTTGCCACCCTTGTTTTTCCTTTCCCATTAGAACTTAGCACTAATAAACTTTGCCTGTGCACTTAAAAAAAATCACCACAACCATCAATCAAAAATCTTTAATTAACAACTTGTGGTGTCTTGTTCTTAAAACAGTTAGCCACACTGCATATCCTATGAAAATATACATATCTAGGCATAAAATGTTTATTAATAATCCACCATGTGCCAAGTGGGTTATTAATAAGAGACAATGATGAACAAGATAGATGGCATCTTTACTTTTACTGATGAAGAAACTAAGGCTCAGAAGAGAACTCACACATTATAGTCATCTTCTATCTAAGTCAAAAGGAAGACTGAATGCCACTGAGGATTTTGGAGCTGAACTAGAGAAAACTGACTGAAAAGACAACCTCATTTTCCAGCCTCTTGTAAGTAACCTAGTAGTATGGTGTGCTGGACTTCATGAATAGGTCAGGGACTCTACAAGTGAGTAACTCTATGAGTTAATTCACATAGGGTGCTTGGACTCCAGTGAGCACAAGAATCATTCCAGACACCTAAGATGCAGTTTCCCTGCTCCATGTGCACAGCCAGTATGTCTGGGGTGGGGCCTTGGAATATGCAGATAGTCCTTACTCATATCAGACTTGGATAATAATTGCTTCAAGGTTTCCTACTGATCGATGCATAAAGTTCAGAAGTAGTAAAATGAGATAATAAGAGTAAATAAAGTGAAATTTATTCATTCTAATATTCTTTTCACTAATAATGGGTAACTTCAAATATATGAGGCTCTTGAGTCACAACTTTTATCTTAATCACAAATGATTTATTTGAAACCCAGCCTGCTTTGTCATCATCGGTAAATATTGTGATACTTCTACACAAACTGTAGAATAGGGAAACTAAGAGCCTATGAAAGTGCCTGAAACACAGGCTTTCTTTCAAATGCTTGTTTCTTGGTTTTTGAGTTTTTCTAAAGTAGATTTAGACCTTTGTGTAACCATTAGACCAATGTAGCCCCTTGGCCAATGTAGCAGGATGCCTCATTACAGAGCTAGTCTTTACCAGAAAAGAGCAGTCCAACTCGTTAGACAAAGACAAACTCTGGAACGGAGCACACGACAGCTGAGATTTCCACCCATCTCTCTCCACCTGGCTCCACTCATGCTGGCCAGGATGCTGCACTTGCAAGTCTCCAGGATCTCTGCATGGGTGGCTCTGTCTCGTCAGTCAGGTCTCACCTAAAATCCGCTGCCCTTCAGTGAGGCCTTCCTTCACTACGCAATATAAATGACCTTCTTATCCCCAATCCCCCACATTAACCCTGTGCATGGAGAGCTCATTAAAACAATTTCTGATTCAGTGGGTAGGGCTAGAGAATGTGCATTTCTTACAAGTTCCCAAGGGAGACTAAGAAACACTAATGCAGAGTGACAGATGCTGGAGACAGACTGCAAGGATTTGAAAACTGCCTCTGCCACTTACTGGCCATGTAACCTTGGACAAGTCTGTAACTTCCCAGTGCTTCAGTTTCCTTACCTGAGGAGTGGGAATAATCCGGCCTCTCTCCCTGGGGTGGCAGTGAGGATCAAATGAGTTAATACACATGGGGTACTTAGAACTCTGCGTAGCATACCAATACACATTAGCTATTATGCTTTATTTTCTTCATATTCTCCTATCTGAAAGTATTTTCTTCATTAACTTGTTTCCTTTCTTGCCTGTATCACCCCAGTAGAATAGAGTTCCACAAAGTCAGTGTCTTGTCTATCTGTAAAAATAGTAATACTGCCTATCTCAAGGATATTTTAAAATATTAACATGAGAAAAAAATAGGTAGAAGTACTTATGCAATAAGCATTTAAAACATTGGTTTCAGTGTGATTTTTTTTTTTTTTTGCTGGGGGGACTGTAAGTATATTTTTTAGTAAGGAGTGAGCCAATGAGGGCACAAGGAAAATGCAGGAAAAGTCATGTTAGATACTAATAATGCATGTATCACCTGGAACATCAGCTATCTACAACAAATTGATCTACTTGCAGAGAGTTAGGGACCTGGAAATGGTACAGTCTTTCAGTTGAGGCTCCACATATCCCTGAGACCAGTAATTTAATGACCGTTTTGAAAACTAGTAAAATATATCACTTACCTGACCCAGACACGTGCCAGTCTTTGCATTCTCTGATGGAAATGTCATTATCTAAGCTTATTTTAATTCTTCCACTATGGGCTTTGTTGTCAAATGTTATCTGCAAAGAAAAGGAAAAGGGTCAAAAACATACCTACAGTTTTTGAGGCCAAGATACCTCCATGCATTAATTATAAAGTAATTCTTTCCATGTAAGAAGAAACCCAGAGTCTCATCCCTAACCTATTGCTAACTCTGTTCAACCCTGGGAAGTTCACTTTTATTTCTCTGTGAAATGAAAAGTTTGAACTGTATCTTCTACAGAGGCTTTTCAGTCATAAAATCCTATATTCCTAGGACAATATTCCAACCCTAGACAACTTCTAAACTAAGAGAACTTCCCCGCCTTCCCATTCTAAGTACCTGAGATACCCTCTTGATATGAGCAAGGGCTGGGGCAAAGCTTCTAGTTATCAAATAAATAAGCCACAGAGATGCAGTGTACAGCAGAGGGAATACAGCTGACATTGTAATAACTTTGCATGGTGACAGATGTTTACTAGACTCAGTGTGGTGATCACCGTGCAGGGTATGTAAATGTTGATTCAGTATGTTGTGAACCTGAAACTAATATAATATTGTATCCCAACTACACTTTAATGAAAAAAACTTTTTAAAGAGCTCGTACAACTGTGCTTTTCTCCATCATCCAGCAGTTCCTCAGCTAGGGGTAGGTTTTTAGTGCTGCTGAAATTCTTATTGACACAGAGGTTCGTTATTTCTCTTGAGGCATTCCAGGTAGAACTTTTTTTATTTTCCTTCTGGACCTACATTCCCTAGTCACTGTAGAACCATATGTATTACCAAGGATGTGGTCCCAGGGAACCAGCTGCCATGGTCTTTCTTCAGGGATAACTAGGAAATAACTAGGGACCGAGGCACAAAGGGGACAGAACCATGCCAGAACTCCCACAGCCCTGCCACTGTTCCCCTTCCAGCTCCTTCCACGTCCCTCCCGCAGGGAGAAGAAAGGCAAGGCAAGAAAATCAGTCTCTTTTTAAAACACCTTCTCTTTAAAAAGTCCTTTAAAAAGTCTGTCATTTAAATGAGTTTTATTGTAGCTTCTGCATGTGGGGTAATCAGATACCACTTCAGAGAAATGATATCAAATAAATTTAATGAGTCTGGTCTCTTTGTCTCAGCATATTGGACTGTAAGCTTCTTTCCCTGACAAGCAACCAAGGCCATTGTCAGTGTCTGTCCACCTTCATAGCTGCTGGAGGACCCAGCCTATCACCTCACACAAGGAAGATGCTTGGTATTTTTTGAGTGAGTTACAAATCCTTACCAAGGGAAAACCATGTTTTCCCAAAGAGCCTCAGGGACTTAGGAAATATTAGGTGCTCACTAAATATCTGTTGAGTAAATACACTTTGGTTTAATGTCAATCACATCTCAATAAATTCTTTAAACAAAGAAGAATAATACTGGATGAAATTAACAAATTAAATAGTACAGAGGGAAAGATTAGTAAATTTGAAGGCATAGCAATAGGAACTATCTAAATGAAACAGAAATAAAAGAATGAAAAATGAAGCAAAAAAAGAGAGCATTGGTGAGCTGTGGGGACAACTTCAAATGCCCAAATACACATGTATATTTGAAGAAATTATACTAAGTAAATGTCAAATACAATGAAAACTATAAATCCACAGAACCAAGATGTTTGATGAAATCCAAACACAAGAAACATGAGGGAAAATACACTAATGATCAAATTGTTAAAATCAAAGACAAAGATAAAAATTTAAAAGCATCCAGACTGGGGAAAACACATCCCATACAGAAGAACAGAGATTAAGATGACAGCAGATTTCTCATCAAAAACAGCATCTTTAGGGTTCAGGGTGAAAAAAACAACCTAGAATTCTATACCCACTGAAACTACCTTTTAAAAATGAAGGAGAAATACTCTTTCAGACATACAAAAGCTGAGAGAACTCATCGCCAGCAGATCTGCACTGCAGAAATGTTACAGGAGGCCCTTCAGGCCAGAGGGAAATGATGCCAGATGGAAACCTCGGGCTGCACAAAGGAATGAGGCACCACAGAAATGGTCACTGTAGGGCCAGTGTGAGTGCTTTTTTCTTATCATTTAAATTGTTTTGAAAGGCAATTGACTGCTTAAAGCAAAAATAATAATTTGTATAACAAATCTGTAAAGTAAATTGTATAACAGCAACAAAAAGGCCAGGACTGAAGAAATGGAAATGTACTGTTATAAAGTTCTTACACTAGTTATGTAGTGGTATATCATCTGAATGTAGATTGTAATAAGTTAAATATGGGCACTATACACCCAAAAATAATACAACAAAGAGTTATAGATAATGAAAGCTAACAAATGAGATACAATGGAATCATAAAAATACTCAATTCAAAAGGAGGAAGAGAGAAACCATATTAATAATCACATGCAATTTAATTGGTCTAAGCACCTTAATTAAAAGAGATTGCAAGGATGGGTAAAAAACTGAGACTCAACTACATGGTGCCAAATAAGAAACCCACTCTAAATATAAGCCACAAATAGGTTTAAAATGATGAAATAAAAGAAGATATACCATGCTAACATTAATAAAAAAAAGCTGAAGTGGCTATATTAACATCAAAGTAAATCGTAGAGCAAAGAATATTACCAATGTTAAAGACTGCTATTTCAAAGTGACAAAAGAATCAGTTCAATTGAACACAAGAACGCTAGATGTGCATACACCTAATAAAGAACTTCAAAATACATGATGCAAGAATTTATCAAACTACTTTGAATGAACGCTAATGTACTACTTTTATATCATAAACCCAACTGGGCACACACAGAAAAGGTTTAATAAATAGCTGTTGAATAAGTTCAATATATACTATATACTAAATACTTTGGTTGGTCCTTTGTCTATGTTATCTTCAGTCTTGACAACAACTTTGTCCAGTTTGTGAGCATTAATCTCATTTAACAAATGAGAAAACTGAAGCTCAAACCAATTAGGTAATTTGCCTAAAGTTACATAGCTACTAACTGGTGAGCTGGAATTAAAATCCAGGCTTGTCTGACAGCAAAGTTCCTGCATTTTGCTTCAATTGCATGCTGCCCCATTCATGCTTTCCTATGACAATGAAGTACCCCCTAGTGGCTTTCATGATTAAACTACCAGAAGTTCTACCAGAGTCCTACAAGATGCATTGTTAAATCCATAATGCACAGGCATAGACTGGGATGATTCTACAATAATGGTGAAAATCTAACATCTGCATGTGTCTAATAGGTCAGGTTGCTTTTAAGCATTATATTGAGTCATTTAAAAAGATCTCCTAAGTCAATATTCAGAAAGCGATGGCATTTTTATACACCAAAAATGAACTATCAGAAAGAGAAACTAAGAAAACAATCCCATTTACTATAGCAATAAAAAAAATAAAGCACTTAGGAATAAATTTATCCAAGCAGGTAAAAGACCTGTACTCAGAAAATTTGGGGACACTGAAGAAAAAAATTGAGGATGACACAAATAAGTGGAAGCATATACCACATTCATAGATAGGAAGAATTAACATCATTAAAATGTCCATACTACCCAAAGCAGTCTATATATCCAATGCAATTCCTATTAAAATACCAATGGTATATATCACAGATCTAGAACAAATATTTTGAAAATTTATATGGAACCAAAAAAGACCCCAAATAACCTCAGTAATCCTGAGAAAGAACAAAGTAGGAGGGAACCACAATACCTGGTATCAAACTACACTACAAGGCCACTGTCATCAAGACAGTCTGGTGCTGGCATAAGAACTGATACATAGATCAGAATAAAGAGCCCAGAAATAAACCCAAGTCTCTATGGTCAATTAATATTTGACAAAGGGAGGACAAGCATAAAATGGAGTAAAGACAGTCTCTTCAGTAAATAGTGTTGGGAGAACTGGACTGATCCATGCAAAAAAATGAAACTAGACCACCAACTTACATCATACACCAGAATAAACTCAAAATGGATAAGACTTAAACATAACTCATGATACCATGAAAGTCCTAGAGGAAAACATAGGCAATAAAATTTCAGTTATCCCACATAGCAATATTTTTGCCAATATACCTCCTAGGGCAAAGGAAATAAAGGAAAAAAATAAACAAATGAGACTATATCAATTAAAAAGCTTCTGCACAGCTAAAGAAAGCATCATCGAAATAAAAAGAGAACCAGAGGTATGGGAGAACATATCTGCCAGAAATACACTGGACAAAGGTTTAATCTCAAAAATATGTAAAGAACTCATACAGTGAACACCAGGAAGACAAAGAATCCAATTAAAAAATGGGCAAAGGACCTGAATAGACACTTCTCCAATGAAGACATATAAGATGGTCCATAGACTTATGAAAAGATGCTCAATATCATTAACCATCAGAGAGATGCAAATTAAAACCACAATATGATATTATATCATACATGCCAAAATGGCTATCATCAATAAATCAACAAACAACAAGTGCTGGTGAAGATGTAGAAAAAAGGGAACCCTAGTACACTGTTAGTGGGAATGCAGACTGGTACAGCCACTGTGGAAAACAATATGGAATTTCCTCAAAAAACTAAAAATGGAACTGCCTTTTGTACCAGTGATTCCACTGCCAGGAATATACCCTAAGAATCCCAAAATGCCTATTCAAAAGAATTTATGTACCCACATGTTCACAGCACTATTTACAATAGCCAAGATTTAGAAACAGCCTAAGTGCCCATCAGTAGATGAGTGAATCAAAAAAATGTGATACATTTATACAACGGAATACTGTGCAGCAGAAAGAAAAAAAGAACTTCTACCTTTTGCAACAGCATGGATAAAAATGGACACTATTATCTAAATGAAATAAGCCAGTTGGTGAAAAGACAAATGCTATATGATCTCACTTATAAGAGGAATCTAATGAACTAATCAACAAAATAGAACCAGAGGCACAGAATCATAGAACAGACTGACAGCCACATGAGGGGAAGGAGGAGGTAGTTACTGATTGAAAGAAGGTGAAGGGACTAGTCAAAGAATATATATGAAGGACCCAAGGACATAGACAATGGTGTGGGGACTGATAACGGAATTGGTGGGGGGCACAGGCTACATTGAAGATGGGAGGTAAAGGAGGAAAAAGTGGGATAACTGTAGTAGCATAAACAATAAAATATTTTAAAAACAATCTCCTTGCTCCGGCACAACTGATCTTCCACAGAGGGCGGAGGTTGGTGGTAAGTGGTCACAGCCAATCCTTGCAGTTCACTAGCCTGGGGAATTCCTCCCATTGATCTGCCAATAGCAACCAAGGCTCAACTACAGGAAGAGGGTGCCCTCAGCCCACATAAAGGGCACACCTTGAGTACATCCAGCTTGGGTAATAGGGGAGGCTGAGCTATTGGACTATACAGAACACCTACTTCATTAAGCCACACTATCAAGACACAGAGTCAAAAGAGCCCTACCTAATACATAGAAACAAACACAAGGAGGCTGCTGAAACAAAGAGACAAAAAAGCATGGTCCAAATAAAAGAAGAGATCAAAACTCCAGAAAAAGAGCTAAGCAAAATGGAGATAAGCAATCTATCAGATGCAGAGTTCAAAACACTGGTTATAAGGATGCTCAAGGAACTTAGGACCTCAGCAGCATAAAAAAGATCTAGTCAGAAACAAAGGATACACTAATTGAAATAAACAACAATTGACAGGGAAACAACAGTAGAGTGGATGAAGAATCAGATGAATGATTTGGAACATAAGGAAGCAAAAAACAACCAATCAGAACAACAAGAAGAAAAAAGAATCCCCCCCTGCAAAAATGAGGATAGTATAAACAGCCCCTATGACAACTGCAAGAGGTCCACCATTTGCATCATAGGGGTGCCAGGAAAAGAGAAAGAGCAAGAAATTGGAAATCTACTTGAAAAAAATAATGAAAGAAAACTTCCCTAATTGGGTGAAGGAAATAGACATGCAAGTCCAGGAAGCACAGAGAGTCCCGAACAAGATGGATGCAAAGAGGCCCACTCCAAGATACATCATACATAAAATGCAAAAGGTTAAAGATAAAAAGAGAATGTTAAAAGACAAGACAAAAGCAGTTAGTTACCTACAAAGGAGTTCCCATAAGACTGTCAGCTGATTTCTGAAAAGAAACTTTGCAGGCTAGAAGGGACTGGCAAGACATATTCAAAGTCATGAAAAGCAGTGACCTATAGCCAAGATTGCCCTACCCAGCAAAGCTATATCGTGTAGAATCAAAGGGCAGATAAAGCACTTCCCAGACAAGAAAAAACTAAAGGAATTCATCATCACCAAACTATTATTACATGAAATGTTAAAGGGGCTTATTTACGAAAGACAAGATCAAACTATGAACAATAAAATGGCAAAAATACATATCTATCAACAATTCAATCTAAAAAACAAACTAAGCAAATAAGAAGAACAGAAATAGAATCATGGATACAGAGAGTATTTTGATGGTTGCCAGATGGGAGGGGGATTTGGAGGAATGGTTAAAGAGGTGAGGAGATTAAGAAGTACAAACAGGTAGTTACAGAATAGCCACAGGAATGTGAAATACAGTACAGGAAGTGGAGAAGCAAAAGAACTTATACGCATGACCCACGGACACGAACAATGGTGGGGCAATTGCCTGAGGGAGTGGTGTATGCTGTGTGTAAGGGGGAAAGGGAGAAAAATTGGGACATTTATAATGGTGTAGTCAAGAAAGTATAATTAAAAAATTAAAAAGGATCTCCATTTCAGAAGTGTTTATTCATTCAACAAATATTTGAAACACCTACTATATTCTTTGAGGAATGAAAATATTAATAAAATAGTTCCTGCCTTCAAGGAGCTTTCAGTCTAGCAGAGTTGATGACAGACCACTAGAAAATCCTAAAATAAATGAAAAGGTGGTAAGAGCATAGAAAATACAAAAACAAATAAAAATCTGGGAGTTCAAAGCACAGAAAGTATTTGTAATTGAAGAATCACATAAGGGTCCATGAAGGAGGCATCCATCGAGCTAAGCCTTGAAGATTTATAAAAATTCTGAAAAATACCATTTCCCAACGAGAGAGAGAGAGAGAAAGAAAGAGAGAGAGGGAGGAAGAAGACAAGACATTGAATAAGTCACTTTTTTAAAAAATCAAGTAATATTGAAAATTCATAACCTGGTTAATATTAAGATAAAAATTTGTAGCTTAATTCAAAACAGCCTTACAGTATTAGTACTTTTTCTTATCAAATGTTATGAACAATTACCACATTATACTATATTCTTAATGTTTTTTAACCTGAATCTCTGAAAACTTGGTTTCTTACAATTAGGTGAGTACTGTGGACACAGCTTTCGACACAGACTGCCGAAGTAACAGAAATTTGTATCATATGAAGGCAAGTTGTATACAACGCTTTCCTGCATATGACTCTAGTCCTCGTGAGGTTACAGGCTCACATGACGGGCATCTTGTGCTCTCTAGAGAGCATTAATAGATCCATTTACAACTGACGGTGGAGAACACAGAAGCGATAGGGTGGACTGACGGGGAGAAACTCACCAGAGCACGCAGAGGCAGCACAAGGAAGGCACTGTGAGCAATAACCCAGAGGCTACAAACATTCCTTCACGGTGAGGAAACTCCACAAGAACCTTTGACAATGACCTTAAGCACACAGCAACAGACTGCTAGACGCTGACCATATAAAACCTTTTGTATTGAAACACCTACCCTGTGCCAGACACATGCTTTGGTACTAACGACAGCAATAACTAGGCAAAGTCCCTGTCCTCATAGTACTTAGGTTGAGGTGCAGAAGACAGATAATTAACAAGCAAAAGTGTTATTATAACAAAAAAGAACTAGCTGTACCATTGCTTCCCTTATGCACATTCAAGTGGAAACATCCTATGTATTTGATCATGACTTAATACAAGTAGATGAACATACAACTAGATGAAACACTTTCCTCAAGGATGGAACCAAATTCAACCCAGTCCATACTCACAGTCAGAGTGAAATCATAACAGTCAGGGAGCTCATGATGACGAATAGTCTGTAGATTGATGGCCTTCAGTTTAAACTTCAGCTCCACAGTTAGGAGCCTAGAAAACAGAGGAGACCTCAATGCAGTGAATGCATGCTCGCACAAACCTGAGTTTGCTCCTGCCTGTTTCCCTCACCTGTGGAAGTCCAGCGTTAAGTTCAGTTTATTTTCTTCTAGCGTTCCAATGTAAAAAGACTCATCTGGCTCCACAGAGAAACATTCTGCCATGGAAAGGAAGGAAACATAACAGAGCAGCCAAAATGAATAAAAGTGCATCTTGAAAAGAGAATACCATATATATTTAAAACTAGATATTCAGATTCTAGTATTTTTCTGAATTAAGACTTTAAAGGCTGAACATCTATACTACTTGGTTACAGTGATGCATTTGTTTTTAAGACCTGTGTGGCCACATTTCTGCAGTGGATGGGAGTGAAGGAAGGTCTGACCTCCATTTTATTAGTCTTCTAGAGAATGTGATCTTCCTCTCTGTCCTTTAAGCCTAAACTTTGAGTCCTTCCTACACTCCTTTTTTTCTTCTGTACCCTAAACATAAGTTTGAAGCACTTGCAGTGTTAGAGACAAATTTTTCTAAGTAAAAAGAATCTACTTTTTTAATATTATGTGTTGACTATTTTTCTTCAATAAGCACTTAAAAAAATGAAGATAGCATCTTAGAAGGTTTTCATTAGTCACTACTATAATCCTTTACTATCCCTCCTCACCCCCCCCCCAAAAAAAACACCAGTGGCTATTGTTGGAATCCTTTGTTCTTTAATCCTTTGTTCTTTAATACTTGTTTTCTTTATTGAAGTGACATTGATTAATAAGACTAATACCTTTTTTTTAATGAACTAAGCTAATGTTTCAGGTACAAATTGCAAATAACACTTTGCTAATAAGAATAAGATGTGCTTTTCTAAGTTCTGGTTCTTATTCCTACCCCAACTTACCCCCATAAATACTGACTAATGAAGTGTTATTGAAAAAAGGAGTTTAGATACATCAATAATTTGCAAGCATAAGTTTTTGTAAGGACAATATCTGCCTGTTTAACTAGCTTCTCCAGCATGAGAGGCAGTGGCATATCGTGGCTAGAGCCCAGGCAGCCCGGGTCACTGCCGCTCCTAGCTGCCTCTTGAGCAGATCACTTCAACTCTCTGAGCCATACTTTAGTCTTCTATAAGAAGGAAGAACAATAAACCTTACTTTGTTGGGGCTTTTCTTTTTAAGAATCATAAGTTACAAACTAAAAGGCTTAGAACAGCACCTGACACACAGTAATGTCTACATGGTTTTTACAATGATCTCTTTGCACCAACCAAATCAATGTTTTCAGAGATGGAGTTACTGACTTTAAATATAAATCAAGGAATTAACAATGGAAGTTCTAGCTTATAGAAGAACATTACCAGTTTCAATTTTTGGATCAATGTCAAAGGTATCATTTCCAGGAAGGATGTTTCCTTGCTTGTAGAAGTGCTGACAGATCACCATACCGGACTGATCCGTGCCTTTATTCTCATAAGCATGGTTCCCAACTGAGATGTTGCGCAGCTGCAAGTACTTTGGCACAGAGAGAGTGAGAGAAAGAGAGAGAGAGAGAGAAGAGAGAGGGGAACACGGGAAGAGGGTTAGGAGAGGAGAGGGGAAGGGGAGGGGGAGAAGGAGGAGAAAACAAACAAAGTGAGAACGCCAGCCAGGATAAAAGTGAAGCCATGGTTCCCTCCCTCCCCACCGGGACCCTGGCAGGCTCCCACTCACACTTTGTGTGGAGACCATCACACTGATGTGCAGTGTGAGTGACGTGCTACTGTGTCCCCAGACAGCAGAGAAGCTCAGCATTTGAGAAATAGGGTTCTGAGTTCAAGTGTCAATTTTGTCACCTTAGGCCAATCACAAACCTTCTGAGTTTCAGGTCTCTTATCTGCAAAATTAAAGGCTTAACCACATAATCTTCTTTCCTCCTTTAAAGAATTAAGTTCAGGAAATGGTTTGTATATCTTAGACCTATGTCCTGTAAGGTCAGAGTTTTGCTTTACTACTGCAATACAGGAAGGGGGATACAATTGTTCCATGCTGACCAGCAAAACATTTTATTAAAAATATGTTAATATTTATTTTTGCAAGAATACAGTTTAGTCACTTTCATGGCAATATTCCCCTGTCCTAGTGAATCCTTTAACTAAAACACAATGTTGCTTTTACAAACGGAGTAATTTCCACCTAAACCACTTAATGGATTTCTGTAGATGAAAAACACAAACTAAATGTTTCAAACTTATTTTGAACAATGTCACTGGACACAATTGGGATACAAAGATAAGGATATGGTATCTGTCTCTTCCAATTAATAATTTAGTGAGATAGACACATAGATAAATAATTCTACTAAAAGAAGCATGCAAGACCTGTCCAGTGCAGCTCAGTTGGTTGGACATAGTCCCACAAACCAAAAAGTTGTTGGTTCAGTCCCCAGTCAGGGCACATGCCTGGGCTGCAAGTTCAGTCCCCAGTTGAAGTGCATATGGAAGGGAACCGAACAATGTTCCTCTCGCACACTGATGTTTTCCTCTCTTTCTCCCTCCCTTCCCCTCTCTCTAAAATAAAAAATAAAAGGATGCTATGATCATTGAAGGAAATCATGTATACAAGGAGGGACCCCCAAAACAGAATTTATCTGTAAAAAATTGTGTACCGATTCTTACATGTTTAAACTTCAGTCTCCTTCCAAGTACTTGCCATTTGATGCAATACACCCATTGAGATTTTTTCCACTGCTCAAAATAGTTTTTGAACTCGTTGATTTTGATGTCTTCTAGTGCTTCTGCCATTTTTTATTTTACCTCTTCCACACTGACAAAAGCGTTTCCCTTTGAGGACTTTTTTCATTCAGAGAACAGAAAAAGTTGCTCAGGATGAGATCAGGTGAATAGGGAGTGTGGGGCAGAGGGGTCATGCCATTTGGGGTCAAAAACTGCTAAGCACTCAGCATGGTGTGACAAGGGCACTCGTAAACCATCCATCATGAAATGGGTAAATTCATTGAAAGAGACTTCAGAAAAATTCACTGAAGCAGAATGCAGCCTCTCACAACAATGTCAGTCAGTACGTTGACACAGATGGGTTCCTAGAACCCTCACTTAGTGAGAGAAGCCTATACTACAAGGGACCCACCCTCCAGAAGATAATTCCAGGTTTTGGGGGGTCCTCCCTCATAATATGCACCTGTGGAATTGATTCTGAGCTAGGCCTGGTACAAATAGCACGTTACTGAGTATGTTGCTCTGTTCCTAGTTCTTGGTGCTTCACGCTTCATTCTCAGTTCTCATCTATATTAACTTCCCAAAGTACTCGGTGCAGCTGAGTGCTTTCCCCTTCATGGGGTACCTTCTTCACTTGACTTCTAGAACACAGGCTGCTCCTTCTCAGTCTCCTTAGCTGAACCTTCCTCTTGCCAGTCTCTACATCTCAGAGTGCCTTACATTAAGGCTTCAACCTCTTTATCCATATTCTCTCCATGGTGATCTCAGCCAGCCCCATGTTTTATATGCCATCCAATGCTGATGACTTCCAAATGTACATGTTCAACCTTGGCCTCTCCACTCAGTTCCATATGCGGGTGGGCAGCAATCTACCTGTGGTGCCTAGGATGAATCTTGAACATAAATGGACAAACAAGAAAAACTGGCTCCTTCTATAATAATTTTCTTCTCAATAAAAAGCTCCATAAGTCAATCCATTTTCAGGCCAAGACTTAGGAATAATCCTTTGGTCTTCTTCTCTCACACTCCACTTCCAATCCATCAGATAATCATGCATTACTATCCAATTACATCCCAAACCCAATTACTTCTCATTACCCTCACTGCTACTGCCCTAGCCTACTCCACCATCATCTCCCACCTGGTTAACCTGGTTTTCCTGCTTCCAAACTGGATTCCCACCACACTCTACCTTTGTAAAGAACTCATAGTCCTAAGTAAGTAAAACTCTTTGTAAGTAAGTAAGACTACTTTGTAAGTACGTAAGAGTTTAACACATGTAAAACTCTTAGAAAAGTGATAGTCAAACACAAACCTGTTTGAGACTCTGTTTCTGCTGTTTCTTCCTTGAGGTAGCCACAGGCTGCCTCTCCACCCTGTGGTCTGCTCTCTGCCCACCTCCATCACCTTCTCAGAGACGCCTTCACCCAGCACTTCCACTCTTTCACTCTGCCTGCTTCTTTTATATGTTTACAGTATGCTTAGAACCAACAGATAGATATCCTTATTTACTGCCTATCTCTTCTTATTAGAATATGACTTCCTTGACTTTGTCTAGTTGTTCACTACTGTATTTATGTACCAAAAGCAATATCTGAGACATAAAATGCTAAAATTAGTCTTTGGTAAGATGTATTAGAGTCTCTCCCCTACAGTTACACCTGCCTCCTCTGCATTTTCCTTAAACATGTTCAATCTTTCCAGGCCTACAGGGCCAGTGCTGCTGCTGCTCCTTCAGCCTGAAATATTCTTCCCCAGACTTTAAGTCCTCAAAGATGTCTTTTCTGACCACCCTGTACTATTAATGCCCTATGCTACTTTATTTCACTTCTAGCATTCACTGTTACATGAAATCAAGTAATTTTGGTTCAACTTGTTTAACATCCATCTTCTCCATTAAAATGTAAACTCCACAGGGCAAGGAATTTATCAAGTCCATTGCTCTAACCCCAGTGCTTGTAACAGTAGGAGGCACAGAGTAGGTGTCAAATTAATAGTGAGGTATAAAATTATTATAATGCCACAGTGGCTCTTCATTTATTAGAGCTGATCTATGCAAGTAAACCTCTAGGATAATGTGTGTGACCACGAAGCCCAGCCTTCTGTGAGCACTGGGATTGGGAAAATGAGCCAGGAGTCTGTGGTAATAGAAGTAAACAGCATAAATTGTTAAACAGCATTATGTCCTACATGTAGGGAGAAACCAGATAATGCTAGAAATATTCCATTTTGAGATTTTTGTTTTCTATTCAAGCAAATAGTGTATTAAGTCTTTCTAAAGCCACTCTGAGCCAAATTGGTAGTTTTATAAGGGGCAGGGAGCAGGGAGGGTGTAAGAGGTAAAAAGTCCATTAAATGAAAAAGAAGGTAAAAGATACTGAGTGTAGTAATCTACTTCAGGCACATGATGAGAAAGCAGAGCTCTTTGGGAAAACGATAATGCTGGGAGAAATAGCAGGCAGCAGGAAGAGAGGGAGACCAAATACGAGATGGACTGACTCCATAAAAGAAGCCACAGGCATGAGGCTACAGGAGCTGAGCAGGGCTGCTGAGGACAGGACACTGTGGACACCACTCATTCCTAGGGTCTCCGGGAGCTGGAGCTGACTCAATGGCACGTCACATACACAGGTACCCAGTTGACCAGTGTCCCTGGAATGTGGGGTTTGTCAGGAAAGGTAAAGCTGGAAAGGAAAGCAGGGGTCATGAAGTCAAGTCATACACACCTGGGGTCCTGTAGCCCCTCTGAGTGCCCTCTGTTGGTGAGGGAAACCCACAGGAATTACCTAAAGATCTGAAACTCCTCACCACAGAAACTGTGTATCTTAAAGCTTGTGAGATATTGAAACACGAATCTGAAGCACAGGGCTGGAGGTACCTGCTGACTTTACAAGCTACGCTATGGCCAGACTACCTTGCTGTGTAGAGGTGTGAGCACCTGCCAAGGCTGAATGGTCAAGGGCAAGTGGCAGGGCTCTGTCCAGCTAAAGGGCAGCTCTGGAGCCCAGGTCAGAGGACTCTGGGACCAGAATGTGGTGTGGGACCATGGCTGAAAGGCAGATGACCTATGGGACTGACGGATGGGTCTCCTAAGTGGCTGTGGCCTCTGTGAGGTTTTTATCAGGCTGGGCACCTGTTCCCATTTGCCTCTGCAGCTCTGCCTTGAGAGAAGTTTTTCACATAGATGCATGGGTCACAGGTCATCCTTTGGGAGACAATATAAGATGCATGAGAGACCCTTATCTGAGTGATGTGGCACCCAAGCAAAGCAGATTTATGCCACTGCTTCTTTGTGACCCTTCTGTAATCACCTAATCCTAACACATATAAGGACCCTTTGAGCTTATTTATTCATTTACAAACGTCTGAGTGCTTCTTATATACTCTGTCTTCAAAGAGTAAGTACACTAAATGCTGGGCACTGAACACTACATATAGATATAGATACAGATATAGATATAGCTACATAGATATAAATGTACATAGATATGTAATGAATGAGGAGTATTATACAATTAAATCTGTGATTTTAGGTGAATCCTATAGAAGACAGCCAAGAAGAGGTGAGGCACTGGATGGGGAAGAAGGGAAGCCAACCAGAAGTAGGAATTTATAGGCTATGCTTAAACTGCAAGAGTAAATGGTTGTAAGACACTGAGGCTTTTATATCTAAGCAACTGGCCAAAAAGAGAAACAAGTCAGGGGAGGGGGTGGGCAGAGACCATGAACCTGCTTTGTACGAAGCTATCCTCAGATGCCTGTGGCTGTCTGGCATGTAGCAGTGTGAGCGACTGTTTAGAAGTCACCTCATCTTGCTGATGAGGTGACGGCTGCAAGGCTGCAGAGTGGTCCTCCACTTTTCCTTGCAGGAAAAGGACAAACCCTTGAGGACTGCCCAGATTTAAGGGGCAGATGAAAGAAAGGAACCCAAGAAAGATGACCCACAAATGGCTGAGGAAAGCCAAGATATAATTTAAAACAAAATAACTAGTGTCTGGACATTCAAATATAAAAGCATATATAATCAACATAAAGTGATGTTATTACTAGCATTGGACCTGAATGAGTCCTCGAGATGGTCTAGGTAGAGGACACCTGAAGGCTAAACCCTTCGAGATAACTAACTGGTCACGGACTATCTCTAATTGCTGAGAAGCCACTGTCCTCCCAGTTCCCCTTGGGGACCATTGTCTCAACCATCGAGATGCTTCCTTACAGCAAACAAAGCTCCCTCTCTAACAGCAGCCCATGCCATCCCTCTTCAGTTCTCTGGAACCATGTAGAATGACTAACCTCATCAACCACAAAATCTCTGCCTGTTCATGAACATTTTCATCAAGATATTTTTATCTTAGGCAAAAAATGCCTATAAAGCTTGGGAGATGGTGGGCAATCATCTCCCCAAGGTAAACCACCCTAATTAATATTATCTACTTGTAGACTAGAGTAAGGGATCTACATCCATTTCTACAATGAATATGGAATGAATGCTAAATAGTACTATATTTTTTAATTAATTTTAAGTCTACTAATAAAGGTAAAATGTTTTAGGAGGAATTTAATGAACTGTTTACTTCATGCCTCTGTCCCCTCCCTAAAAAAAAAAAAAACAAAAAAACTACCAATTTGGTTTAGAATAGCTTTAGAGAAACTTAATAAACTTAAAACAAAAATCCCAATACTATCTCCAGTGATATACTATTTTTTTCCTTACAAATTGAATGACATAGTTCTGTTTAACAACTTATGCAGCTTACTTCTATTCCTGTAGATCTGGGGCCCAAGTTTGTAATCAGGACGCTAACAGAAAGCCATGGGGGCCATAAGTACATGTCCCGCCTCAGCAGTTTACATCTCCCTGCGCATCTAATCTTAGACAATGCGACTGCATTGTAACAATTGTTTGAAGAAACATCGTGATCATTTTGAAATGTGGTCTGCAAAGTAACCCGTGTGGAAATACTGACTTCAAGAACACTTTCAAAGATGCCTACAAAATAAGAGATTTAGGATCTTGAGAAACTACTGTTTAGAGCAAAAGCAAACTGATTAGAAACTCAGAATAGGAATTTGACTCATCTGCATGGACAAGCTTACTTTTATGGCAGTTTAATCAATATTACAATAAGATCATTGTCATGCATGGCATAAAAGCCTCACTTATTTTTTAAATGAACTTTCAAGTCTTGGTTGCTATATATACTCTGCAAAGTGAATATTCTCATTAAGTGCTTAAGAGCCCCTAAAACTATAAACTCTGAAGACTTAATGACTACTTACAACTAGGGTCATGGTTAATAATGTTAAATCTTTGAAGCTCTCATGGCAAACCATAGTTCTGATTCTTTTAATTAAGTCTCTCAAGTTTCTGTATCTGTGTTAGCCAAAAACTCTTGTAAAGGTCGTTGGAAATATTTTTAACTACAGTTAAAAAATGATTGCATACATGTTGTTTACACGTCATCACAGAAATGTTACCCTTCTCCATTTGAATGTCGGTTTCTATTATGCACGTTGCTCACTATTTTTCAGTCTGTTCTTTCTCCCAAGTAGAGAATGCACATGCACCTCTGAGAGAGGAAAATCAAGGAAATTCCATTACCGTATCTGTGGACTTCAAAAAAACGCAATGCTTGATTTACCTGGTTCACCGTGAAGAGGATCTGATTGTACACGTCGCGCTGTGTGTACACTGCATATGTGTCATCCGCTTGGTCCACATACTCTTTTAGGAAGAGGTGTTTGAATGCGACAGTGTTATCTTCCTTGAAAGCTACCACCATCTGGTTACTTAGCCCAAAAAAGACCAGCTTAAGAGAAAAAAAGAAAAAGTTAAGAGGGTGAAAAAGCAACAAAATAAAGGTCTCCACATAATCAATTTCTCTCTATTCAAGATACAGTGTCTAATTAATCCTGAATATGTTCAATAGAAATTAATCTTTGGTACTGTGAATTAATTTATCCTTAAAGATAAGATTGGTTTCTAGATCCAAAGCAAAAGAAAATGGTTTTGCATCTTTTCAACATTTATTTTCACGTATGATCTTACTTATGGCATTGCCCCAGCCATCTAAAGCTTTAGGAGTTCAGAAAAGTCTTTGAGTTCTTCAAGTGTTCAGAGGAGCAAAGCCACTTTGGCTACAAAATAGGAAGTTTTACTGAAAAACGAATGAGAGAAACCCTGAAGTGTGTGCAGAACCAAGGCAGAGGACATTTGAGGAGCTAAGGAGGTGGCAGAGAACTTAGCGCTTTGGGAGGACATAATTCAACTAGAAGAACAGTGAGGAAAAAATATTAGTGGAAGAAATGGAGACAGGTGGCTTGGGGACTTGAACAGCAAGTAGGGAGTTTAAAAATGAATTCTGAAGGATATCAAGAAGGTATCTAGTATAAAGTAAGAAACACCTTAAATTAATCTAAGTCTGATAATCAAGCTATATTCCTAGCTCTAATTACCAAAACTGTGACAATAAGACCCAAAATGAAAAACATCCTTTGAACTCACCTGTAAATTTTATTAATATAACATATCCTTAATATTCATGCAGGATTGACCCCAGACTTTCACATGAAACCAGCTGTTCACACACAAAAAGTTTGTTTAACTACACTGCTGTCACAGTAACATAAACTCCGTCAATCATATCCAAAACCTTACTTTACTCCATCTCTCTTTCACCTCTCTTTCCTCCCGAACCGCCTCAATCTTTCTCTATTACCTGTGCCACGCAGACACACACAAGCACACACCCACATGCCCGTAGTTTAGAACAAACGCTCTGACTTTGATCCCACAGTGAGGCAGGGTGTATTTTGTATGGGAAAAGGGAAGGACACTGAGCACCTGTGGGCCACACTCTATTCCAGGAACTTTCCTCATTCTAAGCCCACGGGATAGTTCTTCATGTCCTACTGTACAAAATGAGTACAGAAAGGCTCAGGGAAGTTAAATGATTTTTCTAAGTCATATTACCAAAAAGTATATAGTTAAAAACTTGAATCCATCCAACAGATGAATCCCAAACTACACAAAGTACTCCAGAGTCTGACCAGAAAAATATAGAGTGAACAAATCTTTTCCCCTTTCTTCTCACTTGTACATGTATGCCCTATACTCTACACATGTCCCCTCTCCACACCTAACTCAACTCCCATTTCCGAAGAGCCTCTTTAAGCTAAAAGTCCTATTTAAATCCTAACAACGTGGTAGTTTGATATTCCAGGAATTTCACATCTTTTGAAACTGACAACCAAAAAGCCTCCAGAGAATTCGCAAACACATTTTTACCAATTCATTCAAATACAGGAGGACCTCCTGTGTGCCGGTCCTGAGCTAGATACTGAGGATACAACGAAAAGTCACCAGTCCCTGCCCTTGTGGGCCTACAGGCGGACGGGCAGACCAATGGCATAGAACTGCTATGATTGGTAGGCTGAGCCAAGAAATGGGAAGACTAGGATGCCCATCATTTTACCCATCTTTCTTTTGCTACCAAAACACAAAGTCTCCAACTTAACAGAAAATCCACCTTCTTTTCCCCAGAAAACAGGGAATCTGTCACCAAGTCACCCTTGTTTGATTAGTTACAAAGTTGTCTTTATATATTTGCTTGATTGCTCAGATATAAATTAAGGAAAGGTCTCAATTAAGAAACCCTCAGTTCATTTCAAAAACGTACCTAACTTACCTAAACACCATTCACATGTTTATTACTAACAGGCTTAACATTTTAAACTATTGGCCAATTTTCCACTTGACCACTCTAGGACACACAGGAAGATGAGCTCCCTAAAAGATTAAGGAGTAATTCAGATCCTAAGTCTTAGAGGGAATGAATCTGTTTGAATTTCAGTTCTGTCCTTCTGGTTTCCTGACTATGACAGGCTATTTTACTTCACTAAGCCTCAGTGTTCTCATCTGTGAAATGGGAAAACCAGTATCTGTGATTTGTTTTAAGAATCAGATAACATGATGTTTAGCCTGAGACACAATTCTCATTTAAATAGAAAATATTAATGTTCAAACATTTGCTTTTAATAAGAGATAATTACTCTCACCAACAGAGAAACATATGTGCACAAGAGTAAATCACAACCAATATGAATAAAGAATCACAAAATATAGGCTTTTCCAACTTGTCAAATACATACTGAGAGTGGAACATCCACTTTCATGGTGATGCATTAGAGAGAGTGCCCCAGCCTCTGAAGTCCTGATTCAGCTGCTGATGCTCACCTGGATAGTCACCATTGCAAGTTTTATAATTTGTATGGCAAGTTTCCATGGTTTTCTACCTCGAGCCCAGAATTTCTCACAAGGATTCATGAAAAAAAATTTGAGTTTCCGCCTCATCTGGTCTTCTAGTAGAAGCTCCTCGGAGGGAGATGTATTCTGGTTAAAAGTGCAGCAATTTTCCTCCTGGTGAGAGCTGCAGCTACTTATAACTACCCCGGAATTTGCCATCTCTAGAGGAAAAAACAGACAAACAAACAAAACTGTTTGCATTCTGTAAGTAAAGACACAAGTTTATATTCTTTGCCATTGCAGGACAGTTGAAGGAGTCTAAACTAAAGATCTGGTTTCAAATAAGCACCACTGCTTTCAACTGTACTTTAAATGTTTAGAGACTCAATTAGAATGTTACAAGCCATTTTTCTTTTTGTTTCAGTTATTAAATGAATATTTACCCAGTTGAAATTTACCAGATGTAAGGGCTGCTCCTATTAGTAAAAAGTTACATGTACATGCACATATACACGGTAGGAGTGGCTTCCTGTCTCATTCATAACAGCTGTAGTTGGAGCATGGGGTGTGACCCAAAAGCCCAGGTCAGGGGTTCAGAGGGTAGGTGGGCCTTGAAATTATGTGCAAAATGTTTTTTATATGTGTACATGGCCACTTTTCTTGGGGAGAAGCTTAAAGATGTATCAGATTATCAAAAAAAGTTTTAAATCACTGAGCTCTGTTTGGTTTTTAATCCTGGTTCTATAACTTGATACTTTTATGACACAAGGCAAGTCACTCTGCTTCTCTGACCTCAGTTTTCTCTTCTACAAAATGATTACAACAGTAGCTGCCCTCATGTGATTGCATTGAGTGTTAAATTAAAATGCACATAAAGCCACTGCATAGGGTCACTGCAAAGTGAGGCTGCATAAAAGCAAGCAGCCTCACTTTCCCTACAGCTCCAGCAGACAGAGCAGTTTCCTGAACAGCCAAGGCACTGTGTGCCCTGGGGGCCTTAACTGTTCCACAATGCGGAGCACAGAAGCTCCAAATCCCAATGAGCACTTAGGTTGTTTCCAAATCTTGGCTATTATAAGTGTCCATCAGTAGATGAGTGGATCAAAAAACTGGTATATTTACACAATGGAATATTATGCAGCAGAGAAAAGGGGGAGTTCCTGCCTTTTGTGACAGCATGGATAGAACTGGAGACTATTGTGCTAAGTGAAGTAAGTCAATTGTTGAAAGACAAATATATGATCTCACTTATAAGAGGAATTTAACAAACAAAATAAACTAATGAGCTAAATAGAAACAGAGGCATGGAATTAGGGAATAGACTGACAGCTGTAAAAAGGGAGGAGGAAGGTGGGGACTGACTGAAAGAAGGTGAAGGGATCAGTAAAAGAACATACATGAAGGACCCGTGGACATGGGCAACAGTATGAAGACTGACTATGGAAGTGGCAGGGGGCAGGCTGGGCAGAGGGGGGGGTGAAGGGGGAAAAAATGGGACATCTGTAATAGTATAATAAGACATCAAAATGAAAAAAAAAACACAAATACCAATCAGCCATGTCACTTATATTTGCCTTTTATTGGAGGCTTTACATTTCTGTAGCACATTTTACTTTTCAGAGTACTTCATACCTATTATTTCTATTGTCCGTTTGAAAAGGATAAGGCTGGTTTTATTGTGTTTATAGGCAGCTTTTCCAAGGTGACAAAGACGTCACTCCAGAAACTGGAACCTATCTTGGATTTTTCCTCCAACTGACAGTGATATTATGGAAACCTGCTAAAAAGAAATACCCCAAACCTCCAGGGAGAGTAGTGTCCTGCCATTGAAAAGGCTGGCTCTGATATTTTCCCACTGTCCTTGGAAATCGAGGGAGGATTCAAACTGTGCTAACACAGCATCTGACAAGTCACTGTTTGGCACCATGCTGTTTTTCAAGACTACACTCCCACTTTGGTTCTGATTCAAACATTCTCAGCAAACATTTCCAAACAGTAAATATTGACTATAAAAACTAGGCATCGGAAAAGTTTTTAAACTCTTGATTAAAAAAAATAATAATAAGGACATCACTGAGTCAATGACACATAAGACATATTTACAATAGCAAATGAGCACCTTCAAAATGAAATAATTATGATAGAACTCATTAAAGTGTGGCTTGTATGTTAAAATTCCTTTCACAGTATAAGTACAATAATTCTTAAGTAAAGACATATAGGAAAGAAAAACCTTATTAATACCTTAAGATTTTCACTCAAGAATACATTATGCCCTTCTTCAAATAGGTATGATACTTTTAATCAGCATTTTAAAGGACTTATTACAAGACTTAAGACGAAGATGATTTTTTTGTTGCTCAAAACTTACATATGAACACCAATATAATGAAGCTCTTCATAAAACATGTTGGTGAATTACAGATTTGAGGTCACATGAAGCCCTATTTTGATACAGGGAAAATTAAACTTTAAACAAACTGGTCACCCGCCATGTAACAGTAACCCACAGGAACAAAGAGAAAATGAGCCATCCCAATTAATTAATTCAGCACGTTGCACCGAGTTGTCCAGACGTTACATTATGTACAAAAACACTAACCGCTAAACTTCCTGCAAACATGAACTTGCCGGCATCACTCACGCCCTTCCGAGCAGGGGCACTGTGACAACTGAAGCCTGCCCAGACCCCTCGTCGCCAAAGGAGAGCGGGCTGCAGCCCTGCACTCCCGCCCCAGAGCGCAGATCGAACCTCCACCCCGCCCCACCCCACCCCACCCCACCCCACCCCCGCGAGGGTACCCGGTGAGGGGCGCCAACACGCCCGGCCCAGCCTCCTCCCAACCCGGCCCGCGCGCGCCCCCACTGACCTCGGCGGGGCGGCCAAGCAGGCGCTGCGCCCAACTGCTGCAGCTGGTGCCCCACTGCCACCTGTGTCCCTTTCATTGAGCCGAAGTCCCGGGGCCCGACCCTCCCGCTTTCTGTCACCGAAGGCTCGCGACATCACAGTTCCTCCTGGAGCTGCGGGCGCCCAGCCCAGGACACCTGATGCCTCCGGATGGTGCGGAGCTGGGCTCACCTGCGACCAGCAGCACGCGGAGGGTGCGCCGGGCGGGGAAAACCGGGCGACCCGGACGCGCAGGTTCAGCGGGCCTTGTTAGGTCTTCTCTGCCCCCGGGGGACCAGGTGCGTCAGGACATCGCTCTGCAAACGTCTGAGGCCCAGCTCAAACCGGAGGAGCCGCTGACGGTGGCATCCTCCCCCCTCCGGCCACTGGAACTCGTGTGGCCCCGCCCCACGGCTCAGTTCCCCTCCACGCCTTTCTGGGGCCGCCTTCCAGGAGGGCGGACAGCGGGAGGGAGGCTGTCGGAGTCACCCCGGGTCTCCGACACCCCCACCCCTTCCCCACACGCCTCTCTAGTCCCGGTAAACAACTCGCACAATCTTACTCGAACGTTCACTGGTTGAGCAGAAGTGAGATGAAAGTACTCGTGCTTTAGAGCCAGAGGGGCCAGCCCTCGGGTCCCATTCTTCTCACGTGTTTGGCAGAGGGGGCGGGATGCCAGGATGCGCGCTAGGAGTCTGGCTGCTGGTCGGGGTGCGCAGTCCTTCCTCTCCAACAGCTGTGCACTCTGATTCTTGTATACAGGAAAAATCATGACGTACGACTTTTCAAGCCTGAGACTTGGACCCTCTCTTAGGCCTTCCAGTTTCACAAAATTGCTTTGAAGTCAACGAACTGCTGGCTAGACTCCTCTAGACCGGGTGCTGGGACTTAAAGAGCCCTGGAAATCTCTTAGAAGAAATGGGACTAGAAATACTTGAGGTAGTGACAACAAGTCTGTGCCTGGTTAAACTTTAGTCAAGCTCCTAAACTTTCTCTCAGGTTCATTTGTGCATTTCCTTAGTAAAACCCAGTTTCAGCAATAACTCTGCTAAGTCAGTTTACCAGAACCTCCCTCCCCCCAACACACACACCCTCAAAATCTGATGGGGTTCTTCATCTGCTATCATCCTTCAGGTGAGGTCTGATCAGCCTGGCCTGTTTTCAGTTGGGTACATTTAGCCAGAACCTCCTTCACCCCTGTAGTTTTTCATCCACTGGACCATATCAAATTTAGAGTTGATCCCTGTCTCTCTCCCCCACCCTGAAACCCCATTGCAGTGGTCCCTACAACTATCTCTACAGTCCTGAATAAAGTGTATTACACCTTTAACAAGGGCCTTTGAATATTTTTTCTTCGAGAATAGACCTCCAACCATAATCTTTATTTTATTATTTTTTTAATCAAACCAAGTTTACTCCTTATCAGGAATAGATCAAGAACTTTGATTAATTTAAATAACAACCACTTTGGATATATTTTAATAGATTTTGGGGGTGGGTAAGTTTGTAAAAATCACTGAATTTTCATAACAGGTAATTCCCCAAATTATATCAAGAGTTGTCAGACCCTTTACAAAATCTTTTTCAAATCCTAAACTAGTTTGCATAGATAACTTATAAATGGAAATACCTTTTCTTGCAATGGGGTACAAGAATTGCATGCTGTTCGTTAACCTGAATCCCAAGTGCTGTGAACAAAATAGATGCTCAAAAGGCTATAATAATTGACACACTCAATTCTCAAGCATAATTTGGAAAATATAACTTAATCTCTAATGCCCAGATGCCTCCACATGTTTAACACCATTTCCTTACAATAACAGTGAAGTCATCTTGCCAATGGAAGTTTGAAATGCTTGATTTTTCTGAAACAACCTAAACTTTGGAGAGGTTCGCAGGTATAAATGATAACCCTGACTTAACCCTAGATTTGACTTAAGTAGACACATGAATAGAAAAAGCCAGGCTTTGGACTCAGATGGTGGGGTCTCAAATTCCCTTCTGTTCCACTTAGCGAGTGACTCAGGGAATTACTTAACCTCTTCACCTCCCATTCCTTCTATGTATAATCCATTTAATAATAGGGTACAGGCAAAGCATTCATTACTGGGCCTGGCATATTGATTTTTTGGGGGGTCTTAATTAGTAAAAGAATCAACCATGTTAGTGAATTACAAGACAAAAAGATGTTAATTCTCAGCAAGTTTATTTATAAATTCAACCTAATATCAATCAAAATTCCAGCAAGCTGTTTTATAGAAATTGCCAAGCTGATTCTAAAATTCACATGGAAATACAAAGAACCTAGAACAGGCATACAATTTTTAAAAATAAGGACAAAACTGGAGGACTTATCCTACCTGATCTCAAGACAGTTTCGTATGTGTGTACAGATACATAGAATATATGTAGACAATGGAACAGACTAGAGAGTCCAGAAGGAGATTCACATATACATCAGTCAGTAGATTTTTGACAAAGGTGCCAAAAACAATGTAAAGGGAAAAATTAAACCTTAGCAATCAACATAGCCATACTACTGACTTAAACAAATATATTGACACCAAGTCAAAAGGAAGAAGACAGGAGACTCTGCCATGCAGAGTCAAAGATTAAGGTCACCACTTCGGAAGGATGACAGGAGCACATCAGAGAAGCAGTTAAAACCTAAGTGGTCAGCTTGCTTGTAATTGTCATGTTCCACGTGCATGTGCCTGGCCCTGCTGGTAATTAGTTCATACAAATGCAATAAAGATTAATAAGTTAGTATACATACTAATCCAATAAATGATATTTCAATAAATAACAAGTTTTGCAAACAAAACTCCCTGAATTGGTGATGTCAACATATTTTTATGCAATACTATTGATCTTGTTAGTACACCCCAAATGTACATTATCTGAGTACTACCTAGTCATGTTTGCTGCATTTTCCAGTGTTTGAATATTCACTAAATAATATAGTTCTTTGCAAACAGGTAAAACATTTTCATTGTTAAAAACGTAAATGAGAATTCTGGTCAGGTGGTGGAGTAGGTAAACTCTGTCCTTGTCTCCTCCCACAATTACATCAAAGTTACAACTAAATTATAGAACCACCATTATTGAGAACCACCTGCAGACTAGCTGAACAGAATTCCTATACTAAGGATATTTAGAAGTCTTGTGGAGATGGGTATGAGGATCAGAGACATAAAATGGGCAGGTCTCATATCCATGGTGTGGAGATTAAGAATTGGAAGGGATCCCTGGCCAGTGGGGCTCAGTTGGTTGGAGTGTTGTCCCATAACCGAAAGGCTGCAGGTTCAATTCCCAGTCAGGGCACATACCTAGGTTGGAAGGTCTCAGTGGAGGTCTGGGTACGTAAAGGAGGCAACAAATCAGTGCTTCTCTTTTGCATCAATGTTTCTCTCTCTTCCTCCCTCTCTCTCTAAAAGCAATGAAAAATGTCCTTACATGAGGATTAAAAAAGAAAAAGAATTGGGAGGGATATCTGTGCAGGGGTCTTCCCTAAGGAACAAAAAGTCCCAGTCTCACACCAGGCTCCCCAGCCTGAGTCAGCAGTGCTAGGGAGAAGAGTACCCATAACATGTGGCTGTGAAAACCAGTGGGGATTGTGTCCTAGAAAGACAAGAGGCCGCTAGAGACCAAGGTGTTAAAGGGCCCATAAACAGACTTACAAACTCACTTGCTGTCATCCTCTGGCAAAGGCAGCAGCTCCAAAAAAGCCAGGACATGCAGGAAAGAACTAAATTGACTAACTTCAGGGTCAGGGCTGGGGGGCAGGGGCTGGGACAGCTTTCTCTAGAGACAGAATCAGTGGCGTATGCTCTCCATTAACCTGGCAAACACCTCTGCCCAGCCCTGATGACTCCCAACCAACTTGCAGTCTTGGCTGGAACTTCTTTTAGTGGCTCTCCCATACAAGTGGCCTACCTCAGTTCATGCTGCAGACTTTTCCAATATCTCTCAAATATCCACAAATACCAAACAAGCCACTGTGTTCCTTGTAGTTCTTGCTAAGTGGTCCCATATCCACCAAAAGCAACAAATGGTCTCAACTTTCATTGTAACCCCCATCGAGTAGCCCCAAACCTGGCATAAGCAGTGGCAGTCTTGACCTGGAACTTAGGTTCAACAAAGTGGCCACAAGCCTGGCACAAGTGGTGGTTGACCTTGGCTTGCACTAGAGATTCTCTCAAGAGGCTTCCAGACTCAACAACCTGATGGCCAGCTTCAGACCAGACCAGAGCACCACCAAACCAGCTCCACAAGTGACACACCCTAAGGGTGGTCTCAGCAGGCACCAGAGCCTTGCTGAAGTGACTCTTACTCTATACTGTTTGCTCCACACACAACAGTTCATTTGCTGCAGTCATGGACAGCCCTCACAGCCAGCAAACCTGAAGTTCAATCCCACTCCCTGACATACCAACAGCAATCAAAACCCAACTACATAGGAGGCACACACAACCCACACAGGGGACACCCTGGAGCACTTGGCTCAGGGAGACTGTACCACAGGGCCCCACAGGACACCTTCTATAAAAGCCATTCTGTCAAGACCAGAAGATGTCACAGATCTACCTAATACATAGACACAGTGAGTCAGCCAAAATGAGAAGATGAAGAAACATGTCCCAAATGAAAAAACAGGACAAAATTGCAGAAAAGGAACTAAATAAAATAGAGACAAGTAATTTACAAGATACAGAGTTCAAACCCTGGTTATAAGGATGCTCAAGGAACTTAAGGGAAGAATAGATAAACTCAGTGAAAACATTAACAGAAAGATAGAAAACCCCAAAAGAGCCAGTGAGAACTGAAAAATACAATAACTGAAATTTTAAAAAATACACTAGAGAAAATCAACAGATTAGAGGAAGAAAAGGATCAGTAAACAATCTGGGAGACAATACAGTGGTAAACACCCAATTAGAACAGCAAAAGAAAAGAATTTTTTAAAAAATGAGGATAGTTTAAGGAACTCTGGGTCAACATCAAACAAACCAACATACACATCTTAGGTGTACCAGAAAGAGAAGAGACAGGGCCAGGGACCACACACCTATTTGAAGAAACAATGACTGAAAACTTTCTTGTCTTGATGAAGGAACTAGACATACAAGTCCAGGAAGCACAGAAAGTCCCAAACAAGATGAACCCAAAGAGGCTCAAACAAAGGCACATCGTAATTTAAATGCCAAAGGTTAAAAACAAAGAGAAAAATCTTAAAAGCTGCAAAAGAAAAGCAGTTAGTTATGTATAAGGGAGCTCCTATAATACTATCACCTAATTTCTCAACAGAAATTTTTCAGGCAAGAAGGGAATAACATGAAACATTCAAATGAGGAAAGGCAAAGATCTATA